TCTATGGCAGATCTCTCCCGGTCGCCAGTGACTGGCATGGCAGTGAAGGATTCTCCCGCACGTTCATTTTCGACGGCTGAGTGACTGATCTCGGAATTGATGTCAAAGCTGCCACTGGTTGCAGGTTTCTCTTGGTGGCTGATGACTTGCATTGTAGTAGACTCATCTACAAATTGATTTATGATAGGTGTGAGATCAACTTGAGTATTTTCATCAAAGTGATCGTTAGTGGCGGATTTTCCTGGGTGATTTAAGGTATCTGGTTCCATTTTGAAAAGCTCTTGGGGATTGGTCGATAGATCGCCGACGAGATGAACAGTATCAGCGGGCTCAGAGGTTCTTTCTCTGTTCCACATTAACTTCTTTACTCGGACGGGTTCTTCGATAGGATCTTCGATAGGACTTTCAATTGGTACACCTTCTTCGTTGTAGTAGTTGATGGTATATTTCGTGTCAAAGGTGATGCAATTTTCTGGAAAATGCCTTGCTTCGTAGACGCCTTTGGCGGGGGGATCAGCTGTACTATTTGACCACCACTTCTGTCCAAGAGCTGGAACTTCCTCACCAAATTTATCTTTAATGTGCTTTGATGTCCCAATATTTGTAGATCCGCGAAGGGGTGTGGTTTTCTTGACCAAGATATCAGCTTTTTTGATAACAGGAACCGATTCGATTGATACGTCAAAAGCTTTATTTTCCTGGATACAAGTTTCCATAATATTTCTTAGAAGAGAGGAGTAAAATTGAATCAAAATTGAATCAAAAAGGAGCAAAAGCAAAGGGAGCAAGTGGAGCAAAAATGTAGATACAAAATCGTTCCAATGGACCAAGAAGGGTTTGCCAATGTAAAGTTGTGAAGGAAAAGAAGATCAACTGAATAAATTAATTCTGATATCACAATGAAATGGAGAGAAAGAGCAACTCTTTGGGTATAAGTCAAGTTGGGAAGGTTCGAGGTGTGTTTGTTCTGGTGTAAATATACGCGAAGGGGTAATTTCAAATGTAAGTTGAGTCTGCAAAAAAAAAAAAAAAAGTTGACCACAACAACTCATCGGCCGAGTGATACAATACAAACCAAAATTTAGAATCAAAGTATAAACAAAAACAACCTTGGAATTGTCTACTACTAGATTTTCATGTTCAGTTTTGTCTCAAAATTAACAACCACTAATTAGAGGAGTTGTCATAATTCCACATAGATTCTTATGTATCACTTTATCATGAGGTTTTGTATGGTCAAAATCACAACTCAAACAAGAAATACGCCTATAACTGCAACAAACAATATTTGTAAGTTGTCATCTACTCTGTTTAAGTGATGAAGTAGGGTATTTGAAAAGCGGAGTAAGGACCTTGACGCTACGAATGTATTCGGACTTTACTCTCCCTCACTTACCAGCACGGAATAGCTTCCCTAAAACGATAAAGCTAACCCCCTCTTGCTCTCTCGGTCTTACTCTTTGAATTTGTAGACTCATCTATGATCATACAGAATCGTCCCCTAGCTTGGGCTCACTGTATAAAAGCCATCCAACTGATCTCGTGGGTTGACGCCTGCCGAACCCCCGACACTTCTTTTCAAGACTTGATTTGCTGACCAGAAGAGATAGAAAACTACAGAAAAATTAACAAAGGTCATCAATCACACTCAAAGTCCCTCGAGGAACAGTCGCACTTGGCAAATTGAACAAACTGCAGTTTTTGACTACCGCTGCTGAATTTATCCGCAAATCATGTCTTTAGACTGTTAACGCATTCTTCGAAGCGCAGCCCCAGAGACCTTTTGCCATCGATGCTGACAGTCATCAGCCATCACAGCGATACACTCGCTCGCTCGCAGTCACTTATTGGTATTGCTGGCTCTATAAATAATAAGACGCTCGTTACACGTTACCTTGCACCTCCTTATACTTGAAGAATGAAACGGCACTTGGGTTATACGACTCAACGTATATATCAATTGTTTAACCCGATCTCTTGTTGCGAGTCACAAATAATAATGCCAGGCATGCATCTGCGGTGAAGCTTCGCAATGCGGCTTACACAGGGGGTTGTCACAAAGTTTTCATCTACATATACCAATCTCACAAGCGTTATATGTGCAGAAGCTAAGCACCGCACTGCTCCTCAGGAATCAAGCATAAACTCTTGCAAATAAGATCTACGCATAACAAACAGGATTAGGGATCAACAGAGCTCTCTCTTCATGTAGTTTTATCGCGATTACTCTCTAGTCACCATACAAATTCCTCATCCTTTCTACAGAACTTTCGATGCAACACTCGCACGCCAGCCACTAGTACATCACCAGACAAGCCTGTAAACTTTTTCATATCCTCCACAAAGCTAAAAGATATATTCAGGGAGAAAAGAGGGTACTGGTGAGAGGATGAACATGCGCGCCTTGCAAAGAAAGAAAGTTTACGTGAATACTATTAATTTTTACTCCGCCAATATCACTACCTGGATGTTGGGATAGTATTCCACGGCATCAAGCTAATACTGCTAATCCATAACTGCTTTGATTCTCAACTGCTGGCATTTACTATCATGCTAGAGGGAACCACTAATTCTCGTTGGTGTACAAGTTCCACAATAATATGAAGATGAATTACTATTCTTTCGACTTCTTGGCCTAAAGATGCGCGGAACACCCATACACAATGGCTGAACGAACGGGCAAGGATGACGAGAAGAGAGACATGCAGAGGTATGATATGTCTCCAGACTGTCATAATGATTGCATTTTTCGTTCCCAATGTACTGTGACTTAACTCTGGCATTGCAAACTTCTCATTCCCCCTTCATTGCAAGAAAACTTCAACTAGCAAATTGCCAACTTTGTGTCCATGGTGCATTTTATCAATATATAACACATTTTGAAGGAAGAAAATGTCTTTTGCGTTTATCTTCATATCGTCCTGTCTAAGCACACTTACACAGCCAAATCACACTTGTGATTCAACAGCCTCATGAAGACGCTCAGGAACTGAAGCTGGTCAACTGGAGTGAATGCAGAATTGTGGAGCGGGAGATTAGTCATCGTCGGAGCTCTACTTTGGTTTACCCCGCTATTTTTACATAAGCTTCATGCATTGCGTCTATCAACGCAGCCTGGTCTAACATAATCCACAAGGCTGAATGAATGATCTCACTTTCTTCAAGAATATCAAGCAGCAGCACAACGTGAGATGGGATTACCTTTAAACATGGAAAATCTACATGCCCCTACGATTCCCTCTGGTCCTACCTCTGGACCAGGAGCCGCAAATGGAATGCAAACTAATGGCTTAACATTTCCTCAACTTCAGGCTAAGAAAGACAATATAGAAGCTGAAATCAAAGCTCTGAGTGGTGTTCTTGACTCGGCAGGTTATACTTCAAATCATATGAGCTTCTGCTAATATACATTAGCATGGTGTGGACATGAATACAAGACTTTTAACTCCTGATGGTTTCCCCAGAGCAGATTTAGACGTTGCACAAAGTAAGCATTCTACTTTCATGAAAGTATGTATGATCTAAGCTAATTTAGTCCGTAAAGTTAGAACTACTAGATCACGGATTATTTATCTCAAAAACGACCACAAAGCCCTTATGAGCGTCATTGAGAAGCATATTCACGAACATTTTGCAAGACTTGCCGAAAGCCCAAACACAGAGGAGCCCGTTGTCGACGAAGTTCAGGCTGGTAGAATTGTACCTTCTTTCGATGAGCCAGCACCTTTGGATCTACCTTTTGCAAAGGTCAATAGCGTTGCAGCGGGAAGCCCTGCGGACGATGCTGGTCTAAAAGCTGGTGATACAATCAGGAATTTTGGCTACGTCAATCATGCGAATCATGATGGCTTGAAAAGGGTGGGAGAATGTGTACAAGGAAATGAGGGCGTATGTGTTCTCTATCGTGACGAGATGCTCGAAAATCTTACTAATCTATACTTTGACAATAGCGCGAGGTTATGGTAAAGGTTTCAAGAGATTTGGGACGCCAAGAGCTACAATTAAGTTTGACACCACGAAGAAATTGGGGAGGCAGAGGGCTTTTGGGCTGTCACATTCTGCCATTGTAGATTAAAATTGACTACTCCTAACACCTGGGCATATTGTGGCATCTGCCATTCGAGCGTAGGAGTTTGCATGGCGTTTGGGTTCTGATGGAATAGTTTGGCCCAATTTTTTCCATGCCAACACATAAGGTTGATTTGGGCATCGTTAGATTCAATACACGTTAGTACCTAGTAGTTACCAGTAACACTTTCTGTGTATCAAGGTCAAACTAGATAGCCTGGTATAGAAACGACTAGATGATCTTACATCTGATAACTAAGGCGGTTGACCAGTAGATTCTCAGTAGCTTCCGGAAGATACCTACTGTGATAGAATGTCCACGGGTATACTTGTTACTATCCTGATACCTAGCAGGTAGTTGTGCGTACAAGTAAACAAAGACGAACAATGAAATGATGCTTTTGATATCATCTACCTACCAGGAAGGCTCGTAAGTACACACCATACTACCCAAAGGCTTCGAATCAGATAAAATCAAATGATAATTCCGAAACAAAACAATACAATGTGATAATTCACAAACTGCATTCATGCATTCAAAAATTTCATTCTACTTAATTCCACAGTTCCAAGATTTTGAAATTGGTTGACAGGTGAATGAATCCAATGAATGACAGAATAATAACGTGACTTCTGTCAAAAAATCCATTTTTCGCTTACATAAAGTTCGCCCACCGCTTTCTTCTCACTAAAGTTTTGGTCTTGTAGCAATCAAAACATTCTCACATCCTTGGAGACCAAATCATACTCCACCACGTCCACGACGAATTTTCAACGATAACAGGTACCCCTCCTCCTCTACAACTCTTCTAGTCATCAAATTCATTTTCGCATCAACAACTTTTCATTTGCGCTGACCATTTGATCAACAGTATCGACCTGTGCGAGATCTGCTTACCTCAACTTCTACCTAACGAAAACATAAAGAAATCATGGCGGACTCCTCTGCTACAACCACACCAACCTTCAAGCTTGTGCTTGTCGGTGATGGAGGAACCGGAAAGGTAAGCAAGTCGAACTTAGAGATGGCCATATTGCTCCCGCCGTTGTCAAGTTGTTAAGTTGGATATCATCGTCGCGAAATTTGCGCCTTCTTTCCAACGATAGTGGCGTAGTAGCGTCTTGAATCATAGACTAATCATCAAATAGACCACCTTCGTCAAGCGCCATTTGACTGGTGAGTTCGAGAAGAAATATATTGCTACTCTCGGTGTCGAAGTTCACCCCCTTGGATTTACTACCGTATGTTGCGAATTCCCCACCTTGATCCGAGGCAAGGTTTACTAACACTTGCAGAACTTGGGAAACATTCAATTCGACGTCTGGGATACTGCTGGACAAGAAAAGTTCGGAGGTCTCCGTGATGGATATTACATTAACGGCCAATGCGGTATCATCATGTTCGATGTTACTTCCCGTATCACATACAAGAACGTTCCTAACTGGCATCGTAAGTTCCTTCAAACTCTCATGTTAGAATGGTCTCAAAAACTAATTTTCCGAATAGGTGACTTGGTTCGTGTTTGCGAAAACATTCCTATTGTTCTTACCGGAAACAAGGTCGATGTCAAGGAACGTAAAGTAAAGGCAAAGACCATCACCTTCCACAGAAAGAAGAATCTCCAGTACTACGACATTTCGGCCAAATCCAACTACAACTTCGAGAAGCCTTTCTTGTGGTTGGCCCGCAAGCTCGTTGGTAACCCAACTTTGGTACGGGCACAACTATCTCCATAATTCTCAAAGTATTGTGACTAATATGTATCAGGAATTCGTTGCTGCACCAGCATTAGCACCACCAACTGCACAAGTCGACGAGGAGCTCTTGAAGGTTTACCACAAGGAGATGGAAGACGCCGCCGCTATGCCACTCCCAGATGAGGATGACAACGATTTGTAAATCGACCGCAATAATGTCCAGAGGACCTTCGATCAATTAGCAGCATCTTAGATAGTTCTTTTTCTCTCGGTGGTATTTGCATTTCTCCTGTCGATCGGTTTTGCGGATAGAGGCAGATGACGCTCTCTCGTTTACTCGGGGCAGGGCACATCACAGGCCAAGGGGTATGCTGGGAGGGATGGATTGGGAATTTTACGAGCGACGAACATCTTGAGATAGAATTAATTCTCGAGATATCACTGCCATTGGCAGCTTACGTAGCTAGAGCAAAAAGCCATTAGTTCTTTTGATAGACAACTTTATGAACTCAAGGGCTTGTAAGGCCATACAGGAAAAAAAAGTGGTTAAAATGTGATTGGATATGACCAGGAAATTGAATTTTTAAGTATCACCCAGCCTCCCAGCCTCCCAGACATGTATTATCAGCATATCTCATCATTTGCCAAATTCAAATCTAGAAACTTTCTACATCAGCGGTCAGACTTAGCTACTAGGCCAGAGAAGGAAGCTCGGATTGTCGATTTACAAGTTCTTATTACTACCTACCCCTCATGCTTTTTGTTTGCTTGTCATCGAGTTTTGGTACCAGCTTGACCTTGAAGGATATGACGATATACTCTTCGTTGTTTTCGCCAGTCCTATCCCTGTATGAGTATGAGATGCATTTCCCAACAGAGATGCTTCTCCGATATGAGAAATACTCCATACACGAATATTGCATTTAAATACCCCAACCAACAAACCCCGCACCACTTCTTATCGTGTACAACATTATACCAGATTGAGCGAAGGCTAACAAGTTTGTTCACCATAATTGCCCAATGAATAGTTTCCGAGCCGAACTCTCCTTGTGTACCAGGTAGCGTCTACCAAAAAACATTAGTGAAAAAAGTTTGTATTCATTTGTCTTATCTACAAACCCTATCCTACACAATGCAGTTCGAGCAAGATTCCTAGATTATCCTTGAAGTACAATCGTCACTCGATCTGCAATATGATGAGGCGGCTACTATACCTCGTATTCCGAGCTCGATTTAACTGCTTGAAATGTGACGAGGTTTGAATGCTGCTCATTCAGTGGAGTTGATGCGGGCGTTTTGCATAGTGATAATGAGCTAAAACACATCAGGAAGGACGTTAAGATTCGCGATGTTGACGTGTGTTCCCATACCTATAAGTACTGTACCCCCAAGCCTGTTCATAAAGGCATGTTTATGACACTCTCGTTGAATATACTCCTCTGTATGAACAATGATTTCCCCAATAACGGCAGGATTGGCATTGTTCACAGTGGTGAACGGTGCCAAAATCACCCAAAGGAATGTGCAAGCTAGTCTGGCGGGCCGAGGCGTCCCAGCAAATGCAACTGGGGTGAAGACTCTGGTTACACCTCAAAACATAACGATTCGTTACAAGGAGCCCGGGAAAGAAGGCGTGTGTGAAACAACACCTGGTGTGAATTCCTACTCGGGATATATCGACCTTGATGCGTACGTTATTCTCGAAGCCTGACATTTGAAGTAATGTAGGCACAAGATGCTAAACTTTCTTAGAAACTCACACACCTTCTTCTGGTTTTTTGAAGCTCGAAACGATCCTGCAAATGCGCCAGTCACTTTATGGCTTAATGGTGGACCAGGTTCCGATTCTATGATTGGTCTCTTCCAAGGCATGTACCATCATGGAACATCAATTGGAAACTAGCTGACCTTGCCAGAATTGGGGCCTTGTAATGTTACAGCAAACCTCACTACCGAATTGAACCCTTATTCGTTTAGCGAGTATTCGAACTTACTGTTCCTTTCTCAACCTCTGGGCGTTGGCTTTTCGTATGGTTCTGAAGGCGAAGGGAGTTTGAATCCATGTAAGTAGCTCGGCACACCGTTTATGAAGACGTACTAACTTCGGAAACAGCCACCGGTGTTTATGAAAATTCTTCATTTGCTGGAGCACAAGGAAGATATCCTGTCATCAATGCGACAGCCCTCGACACGACAGATTTGTCGGCTGTGGCCGCTTGGCACGTTCTGTAAGTTACACTTTTTCCTCTGCTGAAGATGTAGAAACTGGCTGCTCATGCTTCAATTTTTGGGATCTCTCATCTCTGTTATCTTCAACCTTCTATAACGGTTGTAAAGTTTTCATCGTCCTAATGTTCCACAGGCAAGGATTTCTTGGCGGCTTGCCCCAACTCGACCCAGCTGTCAACCTCACCACGAAAAAGGAATTCAATCTATGGACAGAAAGTTATGGAGGTCACTATGGTCCAGCTTTTTACAAGTACTTCTATGACAGAAACCAGGAAATTGCAAACGGCACTATTGCAGGTATCCAACTAGACTTCAACACCCTTGGCGTTGGTAATGGAATTATCGACGAATATATCCAAGCACCCTTGTAAGTCAGGTCACCAATATTTGTATATGCATCGAAGATCTACTAATCATATAACTGATAGTTATCCCGAATTTGCGGTGAACAACACATATGGCATCAAGGCTTATAACGACACAGGTACTTGAACCGCTACCAAACATTCGCTCACTATACTGACTACAATAGTCTACAACTTTGCGAAGTTTGCTTTGAATATGGGCAATGGCTGCCTTGACCAGATCGGTTTTTGCAGAGCAACAAATTTGACAACGGCTGTAGAGCAAGCAATTTGCACTGAAGCCGAGAACCTCTGCAGAGACACAGTGGAAGGGGTCTTCTATACATATGGAGGGCGGGGAGCCTATGACATCAGACATCCATATGGTTCGTTTGCTCATTTTGATACACTCCTCAATTTCTTCTCCATACGATTCAAAGAATACATTGACATGAATCTGAGCTAACCAAATTTTCAGATGATCCAACTCCACCAACATACTTTCTTGATTACCTCAACTTGGCCTCTACACAGAATGCTCTAGGAGTAAACTTAAATTATAGCGAGGACGCTAATAATGAAGTTTACTACGCATTCCAACAGACTGGAGATTTTGTCTATCCCACTTTCTTGGAAGATCTAGAATATTTACTCGCAAACGACGTTAGAGTATCGCTATTCTACGGTGATGCAGATTATATTTGCAACGTAAGTTTATCCCCAGATAATTATTCATTGCAACTAAGAACCGAAACTAACACGACCAATTAGTGGTTTGGAGGAGAAGCCATTTCCTTGGCTGCAAACTATACTCACAGCGCTGAGTTTGCGGCAGCAGGATATGCTCCATTCATCGTCGACGGAACAGAGTATGGAGAAGTGAGACAGTATGGAAACTTCAGTTTCTTGAGAATTTACGAAGCAGGTGTGTCATATCTCCCTATACCTACTTGTATATTATCAACATTTGATTCACTTACTGACTCTTATCAAAAGGTCATGAAGTACCATACTACCAGCCAGTAGCAAGTTTGGAATTTTTCAGACGAACATTACTTGACCTCGACATCGCGGAAGGAAAGGCAAGAGTTGCTAGTAACTATTCAAGCCCGGGTACCGCTTCAGCTACTCATACTGAACCTTTTGTTGCCTTGCCGTCATCCACATCAGAATCTAGTACAGCAGCAGCTCTACCAGATGGATTACCCAACTGGTAAAGATGGAAAAGTATTTTTGTTCAAGAGGATACTGTATACCACTAAGAATCCCTGTCCTGTATCGGAAAGTGCATGCAGGTCACGTGTTGACGATCAATTGTTCGTCATGAAGCAAATTTAGATATATTACCAAGACTTTATTAAACCATGAAAATTGAATGTGAGATATTGACGAACCTTGAAGGTTCTGGTTCATTGAATTTGAACTGCATGAAACATTTAAATTAATTCGTCATACTTCGTGATGATAACATTATCTGTTCCGGGGTAGATGTGGAAATTCCTTAGATTCTTTAGATTCTCGCTTGCGTCGCGGTTCCCCAAACGCGTCGACCTCAACTCATGCATACAAATCTTCCTCCCCTAGTTCCTCATCCCTCCCAATTCATTTTATCCACGCAGGAATTGGAATTTTTGTTATTGAGGATTTATTTTCTATATCCCATCCTTCAATTACATATTCATTTGGTATGAATAATCATTAATATGGACGACGCGACTCTACCCCCGATGCCTCCACCCCGCTCTCCCTCACCAACTCTCCCTGAACATATTCCTCAACCTAGCTCTGAATCTCACTCCCGGAGCCTACTCGAAGTAGAAAAGGAACGCCCGAATTATTCAGACAACAACGGGGAGTTAGAGCCCGCCAATTCCTCACACGACGTTCCCCTCAAGGAAGAGGCCCCTGATAATGAAGGGAAATTGGAAGGCGGGAAGCAGAAAAGGAAACGAACCAGGTACGCAGGATTATATCATCATCTGCCCTTTGCAGGCCTTTCGAGGTCATTTTTGGCCATTTTTGGCTTAAACTTGCTGTTTCCATACAAAATGTTATACATTATACGAAGTGTGGTGTGCTGATGATTCTGATTTCTGTAGCCCCGAAGACCAAGCATTTCTCGAAGCCCAGTACAAGGAAAACCCCAAACCAAACAAAGCAGCGCGCGCAGAAATCGTAAAAAGTGTTAGATTGAACGAGAAGGAAGTTCAGGTATGGCTATTGCCGAGTTCTATTATACTGTATTACAAGACGCGTCCCGACTGACGAGTCAATCCCCATAGATATGGTTCCAAAATCGTCGCCAAATCAATCGAAGAAAGTCGCGTCCCCTTCTCCCACATGAGATTGCAGCCTTTGGTCTTGGCTTGAATCCCTTGTCTTCTGATCCTGCATCCATAGTCAACTATAGTAGCAGCCAGGAAACAGATGAGCAAGCTGAATCATTACTGCAAAACGAGGCCCTAAGAACACTTGATAATGAGGAGGAATCTCGAATTCCACAGGCCGTTGAGCTGTCAGCACCCGAAATGACATCTACAATCAAATCTCCAGAGAAAGCGGCGGAAAGTACTCAAAGGCTTCCAGTAAAGACCGAACCCAGTTCTCTGATCTCAGAGACACCCAGCAAGGAAACTCGCTCCCAATCGGTTTCGAAAGCCCTATCCCAATCATTTTCCGCTACACCTGGATATCTGGCCAACCGTTGGAATAATGTGAACCCATTCTCAACCCCTGTTGCTGCTCACAGTGCCATGTTCACAACTCCCACCATGTATGCAATCCCAGTTCTAATTCTTCTATCGCGAATAAGCTACTGACAAAGTATCCCCAGTTCTCGACAAATCTTCCCATCGTCTTGCCCTGAAAGAATCACAACAGATACTACCCCATCTGCTACATCTCGAGTGCGTCTTTCAACTGGTCTGGATGGTAGAGCAGAGTTAGTCGAAGGAGAAATCACCCCTCCCCGCCCACATGCCGAACGGCCTACATCGTCATTATCCAGCGTCATTCCGCTAAAGCGAATGCGAAGCTTATATCGCAGCCATAGTGCCCTACCTCTGGGATCTTCATCCTTCAATGGCCCTTTCACGCCTCGTCTACTAAGTGGCCGCTCGCGTGATGCACGGACTTGGGAATTCTGTGCCGAAGGAGAGCCTCGTGACGAACTGACCACTCAGGCGGAAAATGAGTCCAGTGGCTCAGCAATCGCAGCTATTAGTCTTATCCGCTCGACAAGCAGCAGTGCTTTAAAACCCAATCCTAATAAACGAAACACACCATCTCGACCGAATCTGCAAGGGAAAAGACCTAAAATGGGACGCGCATCCTCAAGTGTTGCGAGGATGCAGAGTGGTGTTAAAAAGGCGGGACAACCGATTAGTGATAAAGATCCGTTGATGAGATCTCCATCAGGAGACTCGGACAAGGAGAATTGGATCCCGTCTCAAAATAGCGTAAACCCACGCCGCCGACCTGCTCATATCCAAAAGGAGAGTGACAGAGAACCGAAAGGAATTCTTCAAGACAATCCTAGTATCCCTACTCACGCAGAATTTGGCGTCAATAAAAATAAGCGAAGAAAGAGCGCTCATTCTGAGCCCCAGGTTTATGAGGATGCAGAAGCTAGTACAAAGAACACCAAAGCTCCCGATGATGATGTTCAACAATTTATGCAAGCTCCGGTGAGCCCGAGCAAGAAGGACGATGTTGATTGTATACAAGGGCTTCTATCATTGAGTCAGGGGAATTGGCGATAATCAGGGCTCTACGGGGTCAGTGATACGAGAAATGAATGATGATACGGGGTCTTACTGGAGCTTGGTTGGTTGGGTATTGGTCAATTTTTGGAAAATGGAATAAAATTGGTGTAACATTGTGGTGTGGTGTATGGTCAACTATTGTGGATTCCACTAACATTTGGAAGATCCAAAAATGTTCAATTAATCGAAACAATTTTATCTTGAAGATCCAGCAGTCTGCTGGGCTGGTCCTAAACTTTGCGATTATTTTTTTCCCGCATACTTCTGCAATCAAACTTGTGCAAGGTCAAACTGCTAGATCATGCATTGCCACTCAATGCTTTGAAAATCATGATGAGGAATCCCCTGTCCATTCAAGTCAATTAAGCGAGCACAACCCTTCGAGTTGTATCAAAATAATAATATTACCTGATCATCTTCAGACACATATTATTGCTCATGGTTGATCTATCAAATTCTATTCACATTGACTTCGGGCCTTGTTAGTCATCCTCTATTCACTGTATATGGTGTGTACTTCTTAAATTTGCTCCCAATTTCTTTCTGGCCCCGTGCCAGTTTCTCTAGCCCAACAACAACAACATAATAGCTTTTTGATTCCCCAACCAGCTTCAAGTTAACAAAACAGTCTCTACCTTCTTGAGGACAACAAACAAATCACCATTTCAATGGAACAAATTTCTGCTACACAGACACCATTACAAGAATTCCAGGCTCTTGATTCTTACATTGATGTTGACTTTGCTCAGCTTTTTAGTTCTTCTGTTTCTATCTGTGATGACAAACTCAGATTGAAAGAAGTAGCTGACAAACCTGGGCCAGGTTTTGATAAAGATAATGAGAGAGGAACTGGTATTTGTACAACTGCAGATAAGGCTGTCGATGATGAAGAGATCGATCCTCTGACAGTCAACACAAAGCCATCTATGCTGACACCAGAACCTTCATTGCCCAGCTCCAGTTCTAGTTCCAGCTCAGCATCCAGCTCCACATCTACCAGCACAAATCCAAGTCTGAAAGTCGATAATACAACTCAGACTGCAGTGGTCTCTAAAACTGTCCACCAAAAGCAAACATCTGACAGCACTATTGTTCCAGAGAGCAGCAGTCTTCGACACCCAAATTACAAAGGAAAAATTTGCAACTCAAGTAAAATTGTCACCAGTTTGACCACCACTTCAGCAAATCCAATGATCGTCAGTCCAACAAGCCGCATTGAACTCCGAGCACTCTACGAGAAGTATCCCAACATTTGCCCAAAGTTTCCCGCACCACGGCCAGCCTTCTTCAACCGAGACCTCAGCCAGCAAACATACTTACAATGCGTACGATCACCTCCAATCACACCGCGCAAATACGGCCAACCAGATTCCCGCCGTCTCGCCGAGTCATTTGCTTCCAGAACACCACTCCCGTCCAAAATTCACTTGCACCCCAGAATGGTGAAAGAGAGCTTGAGGGAATGGTATGAGATGGCTGGATTCATGGCAAAGTGTCGACGCGATGAACAGCTCAATCCTTATCCACATCTGGATATGAATTCGGGATGGAATCGCGCACGCGTTCAGGGAGAACAATGGCATGATAATTTCAATCCGTGGCAGAAACCTAATACGAAGATTCTGGAAGTGGTTCGGTTGCAAGAGCAGCTTTTGCAATTTTCGTGGGGTGAACAGGTAGATTCGATTGTTGTTGATGGGGGGTTGGCAAAGGGAGTTTTTGAGAAGGTATTCGAGGGCGTGGATGCGGAGAAAGAGAGGATGGCTGGACGCGGACAGAAGAGAATGCCCGGGGCTTGGTGGGCGCAGAGAAAACGTATTTTCTATGATTTGAAGGGTAGAGGGTTTAGGGATGAGGTTCATATCAAGAATTGTCAGATTTGGGATGGGGTAAAGGCATGGGCCGCAAATGATACTGACGCAGAATCAGGAAAATTGAAGCGAAAAATCGATGTCGTTGAGAAAATGGCCGCGAAAGCAGACGATATGGAACACACCCAAATTGAGGAACCTATTCCCAAGAGACACAAAGCCCGTCGTCGAATCTCACAAGTCATGAGCGCCACCTGGCGAGCCAAGCGAAGAAGTCAGGAAAAGAAAGCCGGTCGATGGACAGATGGAACACCGTTGCAAAACCGCATGTGGGCCGAATTTCACTGGGTCTTAGATGCGCCAGACCATCGTGATCGGCGATTTTTCGATATGCGGGACTGGCCGCGCATGTTCGCTGAGAGAGGATGGCCGGGAGTTTCTGCGATGCGGGTTTGGGCGGAGTTTTATCATGGATGGGGTCCGTTGCAGAGCTGGCTTTATTGGTATACGCTTCAGGCGCAGAAACAGCATAGGATGTTTAGGGAAAGGGAAGGGCAGAGAAGACAGAGGCAGTGGGCTATTGAGGGTGAGGGTGAAGTTAGGCCTGCGGATGCGAGGTTCGGGCATGTTGGGCTCCATGGATAAGATAGCGGTGGGAATGGGATATTCTGGTGCTTTGAGGGATTCGAATTTTTTGGAATAATGCGACGATCAGAGTTTTCCTGATCGTTTGGAACATTCAGACTCTACGAGGGTCTTTACGCAACCTAAAGTTCCTCGTCAAGTGGGAGAATCGTAGGTTCGAAATGTGAAACGAAACGTGTGGCATGACGGCATGGCGGTTCGAAGAGATTCGCGGTATGCAGTTCCGTCTCTCAAGCTTTATTTGTCAGCTGGTGATCTTTGCTTTAATATCAGTTCGTAGCAATCTAAGAAAGCCAATTAATTTCCTAGCATAAAAACAGTGATTAATGTGCTCGATGACGAAATTGTTGAAGATAAATTTGCATATTTCGTGCGTAGTATGCTTTCTTGACCGGCGTCCACACTTCATCAAAGTAAAGTCTTTACAACTGCATTTCTGACCCCGATGCTGATTGGTATGGATCCTGCTCTTGGTACTGACACTATCATGATGGGTGGTTTATTGGTCTGTACTACGGAGTCTTCAGGTGGGATAGCAATCGTATGCCTGGTCAATCTCTTGAAGTCAAAATACGCCCACACTAAAGTCGCTTGCTTTGGCTTAATAGTAACGAAATCTGGAATCTCTTGGCGTTCTTAATGGAAATGATTTCTATCTCTGAACATTTTGGAAATGAGGGAACAGGGAGAAGGAAAAAGAAGGAACGAGGCCACTGAAAGCTACAAACCGTTGCTGTATAGTAAGAAATGTGAAATTGTTTCGCTTACATGCTGTTCCCAAGACCATCAATGTCATTATTCGTAGACGAAAGTTTGATTTTGAAGCAGAACAATTAATTGTCTCTTTCTTGGAGACCGAGATGATGTGACACGAGTAATTCGGACATGTAATGCAGCAGTGGTAGATCCGAAAGGGTAGTGAATAAGCATGGTCTATTGAGTAGCTGAATACTTCGTTTTGAAAAAGGCTAATAATTGTTTACAGTCTCGAAATTGGCCGAATTCTATTCGTCCTCAGAAGGAAAAGTGTTTGCTGCTAGATCTATTGCCGGAAGTGCGTCTGATCATCTGGGAGTTTTGTATCCTCAATCTTCGTATGTAGTATCCTCTATCTCCAGCATCTCAAATAATACAGACGTATACATACTAACATTTGCAGCTTGCAGCCGCAACCCTATCATAGTAGCAATATCTTAACCGCAATTTAATCGAGATCGGGGTGTATTTGAGGGCGCAATCCCTTTAAACCGTAACAAGAAATTCTACGCACAAAAACAAGCCTGCTTTCGCCAAAAGTACTTCGACCAAGTACACCCTACCTTTAGAGCCCAAATTTTCAATCTCTTCATGATTTGTCGAAAGGCATATCTTAATATTGAGGGTGGCGCCCTTTTATATAAAACGAAGACTTCTAGATTCCTTGATCCGATGACTTTGTTCAGATTTAGTTTTAAAATCCAACGCCCCTTTTTCTTAATACAAAGTATGGTTCTTGAATATGACATCTCTTGTGACCGGGCCTTTTTCTGGGTCGATTCTATGTTCTCGATTATTTTCCATCGGTATAACCTCAATTTTTTTTTTTTTTAGAATGAAGATGAGAATTCTAAGTCGCGAGCTTGTCAGAGAGGCAGCGCCTGCCATTAAGATCAATGGAACCTTTTTCCCAAATTATCATGGACAAGCAGTACTCCATAATCTCTGCAGCATCCCGGAACTATGGAAGTGGAATTTGAAACCCAAAAATGTTGACAATATCAAAGACTTCGACATTGATGTCAGCGGCGATGATACCTGGCCTAGCCACTTTAAATTTGGTGGAGACAAAAATGGTTGGCACCTTGTCAAGAAGCTATATGCTATGCACACTATCAATATGAGTGAACTTGTGCAGCGTCTCATGGAAAGGTATCCGTACTACAGAAAACGTGGTGTTAAAGAGCAAACCTCGACCAGCATAGAGGACATTTGGGTTGATGTCTGGGAACCTATCCTTGTCCCGGGAGCTGCACTAGAAATGTTACGGAAGAAGAACGAGAAAGCGGAGAGGGAGAAGTTGGAGACGGAAAGGTTGGAGAAGGAGAGGTTAGAGGAGATATCGGAGGAGCGAAGTTAAGTACGGATCGTCTGAGAGCACAGCAATAACCATGTTTGCTCTTCTAGAACTACTGCAACGGATCGAGTTAGATAAAACTCATAGGCATATATCAATAACATCGAAGAACGGTTCGATAAACCGTAATTCTCAATACATTTGAGTAACCATACAGATATTTACAGATTGCTGACTCGTGATTCTGGTGATACAGCACTTTCCCGGTTCTCTTTCTCGATTCTACGTCTCGCTTCCTCGTTCCCCCTTTTCCACATATCTATTCTTTTCAAGTGTCCATTATCAAATCCTTCTCGCCACCACTTCTGGAACTTTGGTAAACTTCTACCTTTACCATTCTTTGGCTCGCCTGCCATTTCCCTGATGGTCTCAAAATACTCTTCAAAATCGGGATAGAGAGCTGTGAAGGGTACTCCATCCCCTTTTAC